GTGTACAGCAGGACTTCCCTGGGCAATGTGGTGCAGGTGTGTTCTGCCCCCCACATGGCCCACGGCTGCCCCCACGGCACTCTGCATGGGGCTGAGCCCTGCTTGTTCCTGCCCGGGACAAACTGTGCCTGCACCCACTCTAGCACACAGCTTCCTGCCAAGGCTGTTGCTGTTGCTGCTGCAGCCAACCAGGTACAGGTCAGCTGCTCCTCCTCCTGCCCCTGCTGCTCTGCTCTGGGAGGGAGGGAAGCTGCAGCCCAGCAGCTCCTGCCCCAGCACATGGGGCTCCAACTCCTGGCCCGCCTGGCGTGATGATCAGCCACCTGAGAGCACTGGAGCTGGAGCCCTGTGTGCTGGGGAAGGAGCCACCCAGCTGCAGTTTTCCCCGCACCTGGAGCCTCTAGTTGGATGCAATTTATGCTATTTTGCATAAAACATACTTAAAGGAACATTTTCTTTTTTCATGAAAAGTAAACATGTTAGCTTCACTGGCTTTTACTCTGTGCCTTTAAAAGGATAAACTTCATGAGAAGAAGTAAACCCAGATGGTTACAAGAAGACTCATTTTATAAAAATGGGCACAACAGTAACAAAAGTGCTCAACTGACTGATTTACCACAACTTGGAACTCACAAACATCCAGATAATCTAAACCAACTTTATGCACATCCCCAAACCACAAAACCCTTTACTTAATGTAAATTATATTCCCTTTTATTCAGATTCCCTAATTCTTAGTCTTAACAAGGCTTTAGCCTAGAAGTATAGTTTAAAAAGAACTATGCAAATCAGGCATGTCAGTGCTTAGAGGCTGCATTTTCTACTTCTTATCACACACTTCCCATAAAAAGAAATAACCAGATTTAAAAAAAGGAATGGCAACTCCATGCAAATAGTATTATCTATCCGATATGTAAATTTCAATTGATATTTAACTCTTCAAGGCTACACAGGGTCATTCAAAAAAGTAAAGGGGAGGTTTGAATCCTATACAGAGCCCTCTTCATCTGTTCTGGCTGGAACTGCTACAAAAGAACCTCAGCCTTACTATTTATAAGTATTGTCATTTCTTCATTCAAAAGTAAGCCCAAAAGAACAGAAATGCAAATTACAACACACAATGGCACTGCTGCAACTGTTCAGCAATTCTAGCTGTGATTGTATGCTATAAAAGAAAGTTTTAGCAATAAACTGAACCTTTTCGATGACAGTAGCAGGAACTCCCTGAAAACTGAAAATGCCCAGAATATAAATAAAATCATTTGTTACATACTCTCAGCCTTTTCAAGCCCAGCTTTATCCAATACGGTATGATAAAAAACAGTAAACCTGTTACATACTTCTTTGCAATATTCTGATATTTTCCAAAGGTTACATCTTAGGCATGAACAGCTGTCATAGGTTGTTGCCTTTATGCTGTGGTATATTATATTTCAAATGGATATCAGTAGGACCTCCCCAACTTTCTCTCACACTGGTGTTAGTTAGTCACTGGAGGCTGGTCCAAGACATTTACCATGTCTAGTATAATACATGAGTATAAAATTAGGAACAGATCCATATAACATTTGGTGGCAATTATGCCACGTATACGAACAGTAACAAATGGCTGAGCTGAAAACAGTGACATAGACCAAATTTCAGGGCAAAAATATCTTATACAGAATCTCTTTATTGATAGTAAAATACAATATTGACCCTACTGCTTTTAGAAATAAGGCTATTTTAAAAAGAAATAGGGGGAAAAGAGCATCTATTACTCTTATTTTGTCAATGACTTCAGAGTCCCTATAATTGTGATCAAAGATGTGTTTTGTTCATACTCTCTCCCAGAAATTGAAGAATTGGTATGGGGCTAAAACCTAAAAACTGTTATATAGGCTTACTCATCATTCCTCTTCCTTAGGATTATACGAAAGCAGAGCTGGAAGGGGCCTCATGAAGTCATCTAGTCCAGCCTCCTGCTCAAGGCAGGATCATCCCTCACTAAACCATCTCAGCCAAGTGTATGTCTAACCTGCTTTTGAAAATTTCCAGGGATAGAAATTTCACAACCCCTGTAGGTAGCCTGTTCCAATGCTTGACTACCCTCATATTCAGAAAGTTCCTCCTAATCTCCAATTTAAGTTTCCTCTGAAGTAGTTTGAGGCCATTGCCCCTTGTCCTGTTTTCTATAGCCAAAAAGAAAAGTATTACCTTTATTCTTTTTACAATTGCCTTCCAGATATTTGAAGAATATAATCAAATGCCTCCTGACTCTTACCTTCTCCTGACTAAATAATCCTAGTTCTTTCAGCCTTCCTTGATAAATCATACTGTCCAGGCCTCTAATCATTTTTGTTACTCCCTGCTGGACTCTATCCAACTAGTCCACATCTTTCTTGAAGCACAGGGCCCAAAACTGGACATAATACTCGACATGAGGCCTCACCAGTGCAGAACAAAGCAAAAGAATCACTTCCCTTGACTTGCAACCCAGGATGCCATTGGCCTTTTCTTCAACAAGAAAACAACGTTGGCTCATACACAATTTAGGGTCCACTGCAACTCCCAGGTCTTTCTCTACAGCCACCCATTCCTCAATCTGTATCTATGCATGCATTACTCTGCCCCAAGTGCAGGACTTTGAACTTGCCTTTGTTTAATTTCATCAGATTGACTGTGGACCATTTCTCCAGGTCATTCTGGATCCTAGCCCTACCTCCAGAGTGTCTCCAACTCCTTCCAACTTAATGTCATCAACAATTTTCCTAAGTGTGCACTCAATCCCATCCTCCAAATAATTAATGAAAATGTTAAACAATACTGAACTCAGGACAGACCCCTGGGGAACACCACTTGATACCTCCTCTCAATTAAACATTTGAGCCATTGGCAACTATTCGCTGAGCACAATGATTTAGCTAGTTGTGTTATGTATCCTCTTACAGTACATTCATCCAGTTTGTATTCCTTTAGCTTGTTAATGAGACTATTGTGGGTGACAATGCCAAAGCCTTCCTAAAGTTTATCACATCCACTGCTTCGCCCCACCCCACCACCACATCCACAGAGCCTGTCACTGTATCATAGAAGGAAATCAAGTTGGTTATGACTGCCTCTTTTTGCATGCTTACATATTTAGGTATCTTGCTTGTTTGTTACTCTAACACAGGGGTGTCAAACTTATGGCCCACAGAGCCATGTTGTGTGGGCCTGGCAGAGGGGCCTGCCACTGAAATCTAAGGCACAGAGCCCCATTTGTGATGTGTGGGTAGCCAGGGGTAAGCGATGGCTGAGAGCCCCTGCAACTGCCACTATCAGGCCCCAGATCAGGTGACCTCCAAGGTCCGGATACCGCCTGGCGGGCAGAGTGAGTGTAACACCCCTCTCACGTGTGCACGGAGGTTATAAAGCATGACTTAAAACCAATGTGGCCCTTATAATTAATCCCAATTTACAAAAATATATATGGCTATATACCCCCCTTGTAAATTGGGATTATATAGAAATAAATAAAAGCAGGAAGCAACTGTGACCAGCTGAAACCTGAGATCCTGCCCCTGCCTTTGTTTCAAGGTAATCCGCACCATCACAGATCCTCACAGGAGGTGAGGGGCTTCATAGCAGCTATGAATTGCCTGCCCAGGGGAGTTTTCCATCCCTGACTCCTCTGTGAAATCCTATAAAATATGAACCTTCATTTCTACCCAGGAGGATTTTTACACTCTTTTCTCCAGTGCCTGATGAAGGGGGTTTGTGGCCGAAAGCTTGCAATTAAAATCATGTTTTTTGCAAAAATCTTGTTGGTCATATAGAAGACATCACCTCCACCACAAGTCTCGATTGCCTTTTCCTGTAGACCAATACAGCTACAACCCGGATACCTGATAACTACACACACACGCGTGCATGCACACACATCCACACACACACACAGAGCACATACAAACACACTCCCCAACACACACACAGACGCGCGCGCGCGCGCTTACAATATACTGTATAGGTGCGCGTGTGCACGGAGCCGTGCGTGACACTGAAGCGGGAGCGAAGGGGGCTGGCGCGGCGGCTGCCCTACAGGGTCCAAAGCCCCCACGGGGCAGGGCTCCCACGTGGCGCGCGACACAGGAGCGCACCTGCCGCCTGAGGGGGCCGGGGAAGAGCACTCCCATTTTACAGCTGGGATCGCTGAGGCTCGGGGAAGCCAGGAGGCCGCCCTGGCCGCTCACGGGGGCGGGCCTCGGAGCTCCCCGCCCTGCCGTGCAGTGCTGCAGCGTGACCCGGGCTGGCCCCCCCTCGCGGCGGCCGGTACCTCTGAGCGCCTGGTGCATGCCGCCCAGGCCGCTGAACAGCTCGAGCACCCGCAGCGGCTCCATCCCCGCGCGCCGGTGCCGCCGCCGCCCGTCCGG